AGCGTACGCAATCGCACACTTCCAGGAGGTCGCCAACCAGGAGAAAGTACACACAGGGTTCCTGACCCCTGTCAGGCACGCCTTGGCGTGGAGCTGGGAACCCATACAGTGCACCCAGCCAGAGAAGGCCCACGCGGGGAGGAGCGGGACGGGCGGGCGTGAGAAGCAGGTGACTTTATTCATTGCTTTCCCAATCGGCGAGGTCCTGGGACTCGTTTTCCGCCTGGAGATTAAGATCATTGCTCGAGTAATGAACTTAATGCTTTAGGGTAGAGGTGAGTGTGTCTGCGAGTGGGTAGGGGTAGGAATAACCGGCCCGATCGATTGGAGACTGGCTTAAAACTAAATCCCTTTTCTCCAGGGCTTTACCGTCCGGGTTTTCCCGAAGTGGGCTGAGCGCGCCGGGAGCGCAGGGAGGCAGTGCGCTGAAGGGCGATCTGGGGGCTCCGCCAGCCTGAATCAAGGCCAAGTCTCCCCGCCGAGACCCCCAGGGTACCATTTTTAGGGCAAAGACTTCAAAGCGCAAATGTTGGCGAACTGATTGCTCAATATGTTATTTGTTTTTCCTTTCACTTCCGTCTTGGGAGAAAATGTTTCAGAAGCTTTGGCGGGCACATCAGGCGGAAAAGGGAACTCTCTCTCTCCCTGCCATCAGCCATCCGCTCCCAGCCCCCGACCGCCTACTCTCGCTCACCGCTCTTTCCCCAGCCTTGGGATTCCCAGCCTCACGTAGACTCTGCACCGTGACACACAAAGTGGTATAGGCCGCCAAAGGACCAGTGGGTCCTGGGCACTATAGAAGAGGGGAGAAAGTCCAGGAAAAATGTCCGGACAGGCAAGGCGCCTCACTATCCAGTTCCACGCCGCTCACTCGGTGTCCAAATGTCTACCGGGAGCTTTGCACCATCAATTCCTGTTTTTACTGCCTTCACATGGGCGGAGGGCCTGCCGAGATCCAAAAGGCAGGGGGAAGATTGCAGATTTTAAAGTGATCCTAAGGAACTCCTGTCTAAAAGGTTAGGGTGTCATGACTCTGGACCCCCCTACTCCTGGCCCTCCAGGCCAGCCTTCCAGTGCTCTACGTGGCCTCTGGGAGCCAACATTTCAGGATTACGGTCCCAGATGCACGTGGGATTCGGAAGCCAGAGCTCTAATGTGGCAGCGTCCATTAAGACGCCTGGAGTGAGCCAACTACAAAGGCACTAGGAATGGTTCCGAGGGAAAGGGTCCCGCAGGAGGCATCTGTCCACGCCCTTCTGAACACATCCAGAGTAGCCCCTTCTCCAGAGACAAAGCCGACAGTCCCTTAAACTTGATTTTCGGGTGGGGGATGGGAAGTCCACAGAATGCTACTGCTGGCACCGAACAGCCCCCAGGTGCTCTGGGAACTGGGCAAAGACCCGTCCACACACAGCCTGGGCCCAGGCCCCAGAATCCAGACTGGAGCTCAGCATAGCGGCCCTCTGGATTTCCTCCAGGGGTGTAGAGCCGGCCCCAACCCCAACCACCCACAACTCCTTTCCCTTCCCCCGCCCGCAAGCTCTAGGGGCGCTGCACGCAGATCGGCGAGGGTGCGCGCCCTGTGGGATTGGCGCGCGGGAGCGGGTGGAGCTGGCGATTTTCCTTTTCAGTATCTTTGCACTTCTGCACGAAGTTTCCTGGTAGGCGCCTCTGCCCCAAGATCGGAGCCTCCCGCTGCCGATCCTTCTCCTCCCGCCCCCTCGAGTCGAACGACCCGGAGTCTCTGCCGGGCCTGGTCTCCCACTCGGAACTTTGGACCGCGCTCCCCGCGCTTCCCAGGGTTCGGCACAGGGCGCTTCTCCCCGGGGTGAAACACGCCGGCCCCGCTCGCTGCAAGGAAACACCCGCTGCCTCCCAAGGAACTCCTAATACCATCCATACAGCTTTAATGCGTTTATAATTCGATAAGTGATTTCAATTTAAAATTGTTAGTAACTAATTTTATGGGTAATTTTTCCACATCAAATATTTAAGCATCAGATTAAGGGAGCCAGTTCCGACACAGGATAATAAGGGGGTTTCCCCCACCTCCCCCCGCGCCTCCGCCTCCCTCGGTTTCCTACCAAGTCGTTTTTCCAAATCCCCAAAAGGTGGCAGTCGAAGCCGACTTTCCTCTTTTCCTGCGGCTCTGCGAAGGGAGGGGGGAGGGGAGGGGGAGGGGTGGCGGGAGAGGGGGAGGGGCAAGAAGAGCAGAGGGCGAAGCTAGATGTCGCCTGGACTTCTCAAAATCTTTAACACGTTTCTAATACAGTACAAGCAAGAAGCAGTGGTGAATTTCCTGAGAAAGTCCTGGCAGAAAAGAAAGCCCAAAAAACGTGTCTTGTGGCCTCGGAGCAGGGGATGTGAAAAACTCAGCACATTCACCCGAATTCTTCAGTTTCTCAACAGAAAGGGGAGAGGGAGACCCAGGCAGAGATCAACCGTCTTTTTGATATTTCTTTGTATCTTAACATTATCTATAAGTGCTATACAACTAAGTGACCTGTTTCTTCGAGGACAGGACTCTGTGGATTACATAATGGGGGGAGGAGTAAAGCTGGGGAAAGGGTGATGGGTGGGGGCAGACGGCGGAGGGCGGAGGGGAGATTGGGGCGAGCAGCGGATGAATTGCAGACCGATTGCCAAAACTTTTTTTTTTTTTTTTTTTCCCCTGCTGCTGCTGCTGCGGCTGCGGCTGCTTTTGCTGCTGCCTTTGCTTTGAATGTGGGTAACTAGGAAACAGCTAGCCGTCTGAGAAGACGGAATTTCCAACGTGTAAAATGTTCTTAACGGAACCATTGAGCGAGTGCAATAAGGCGTGAGGGGGAACTAATCTTCCCATTTAAATGTTTGTGGCAATTTTATCTAAATGAATTTTAATGCTAAACGAGGGTAATTCCCCATTTGTAGCGCGTTTACTTCTCTTTCCTGTGCCTCTAAAGCAGTCGAACATCATGCAATGAACAATAACAATAAAAATACTGTCAAGGCTTATTATTCATTTTGAATGTGTTATAATTACAGCTGATTAAATATGATCGGGTAAAATTTTTACTTTTTTTGAAAAAAAAATTAAATCCTACTAAAAAGTCTCATTCAGTCAGGCGCCACCCCCCCCCACCCCAGCAACTAAAGAATAAAAAGCAGGTACAATTGTGTGCCCTCGTTTAGAGGAGGAAGGGCGTTCTGGCTTTTGCCTTTTAAGAAACATCAAAAACACTCTCGACACCTCTATTCTTGCCCTTCTTCGGATAAGCGTCCTCAATAACCTCTGAGCTGGCTCTGATACTTTCTAGAGGAAAAGCTAAAATAGCAATAAGCAGGGAGGGTGTCAGGCAGAGGAAGTTCCAGGAGTAAGGTTCTCCCATAATCGTCACCCAGAGAGCGAATGTACGGAACAACAGCTTGGTTTTTTTTTCTAATTCCTGGACATTAATGATCATTATAGTCTCCATCGTCTGTATCTCCTTTTTTTCACTTGTACCCTTCTCTCTCTCTCTCTCTCTCTCTCTCTCTCTCTCTCTCTCTCTCTCTCTCTCTCCTTCTCTCTCGCTTTCTTTCTCCTCTCTCTCCCTCCTCCTCCTTTTCCTCCTCCCTCCACCCCCTTCCTTTCCTCCCCCACAGGGCTAGAGCCTCCTCAAGAATAAAGGCCGAAAATAACCAACTCACCCTGGGGAGGAGGAGTAAATGACCGTTAGTTTACAAAGTTTATTATTAATTTTAAAAGTAAATAAATGGCTGTTAACTGCTAGTAACCACCTATCAAAAGAGAATGATTTCACTAATATAGGCTATTTATGTAGTCCAAGAATTGCCACTGGGTCAAAGATGGGAAATTTAAACAGTCCCCATCTAAGGAGTGAGGGCGGGGTGGGGGCGCAGTGGGCGATGCCTGCAATAGATCAAGTCTCTCTCTCTCTCTCTCTCTCTCTCTCTCTCTCTCTCTCTCTCTCTCTCTCTCTCTGTCTGTCTTTCTCCTCCCCCTCCCTCTACCCACGTGTTCAGTAACCAACCAGGCCCCACCAACAAAAGGTGAGGGTGCAAGCTGCTGCTCCCGCTCCAGCAGGTGATTCAGGCAGTCTATCGCACATCACCTGGTAAAGCCAATCCACAGCTGGCTTCTCTTTTCGAATAGAAAATAGAATTGCTGAGGGCCGGTTTATAGTGTGACATGGGCCTGAATGTCAGACTTGAGTTTAAGACGGTCTTCTGCGCCTCATCCTTTGTTTACAAAGCAATCACTTCTAAAAGGCTTATTTTTAAAAATGAATTTGCCTTAATTAAAATATTTGTGTATTTTCCTTAGCTTTGGGAAGCACTTTTTACAGCAGCAATTTTATTTAAATAAAATTATAAGCTATTCCAGCTTAAACATGTTATTTTGTACCATTTAGCTGGCTGCCATGCAGAAATTCTGTACAGCTGTTCTGGAAAATTGGTTAATAACCAGTTTTATCCAATGAGAACATAGAGCATATTTATAAAAATTAGATTTTGAAGTCTGGTCTCTTCAATTTCACATAGTTAATTTCCTAATAAACATATATTGCTCTGCCTAGGTAACATCCTCAGCAAAAGACTGAACTCTGTGCCTTAGGTTCCCCATTATGTGCAAGAATGATTTCACTGATATTAGATGAGTAGTTCTGTGGGAGGTAATTTGAGTCTACAGTTAGATTGGTGCCTTTAGGCCTTAAATTTGCTGATTTTAGGGCGTTCATTAAGTCAGCTTAACGAATTCAATGGCTATTAGTAAATAATTTACTTTGTGGTTAAAATTTTCAAATACGTATATGGCTTAGGGAGCAAAAATGAATTGTTGTATTTATTGCATTAATCACTAAAATTTGGGGGGGCAGTAAACAAATTTTTCAAGCAGTGGAGTCAGCATGACAAAAATAATCTTGTTTTTATTTTAGATTCAGATTTCATTACTGCACTCAAAAGACTACAACTGGGCTTGGAGTTATTATACAATCCAAACTGTTTCTGTCAGGAACACTAAGACTCACTGTGCAATGATTGTTATTAATAATTAGCTCCTTGGTTTCTTGATAGAAAAAGGCTATCAACAAGCATTTGTTTATCCACAACAAAAAGTATAATTAGCTTATCCCACTTAG